AGATCGAAACATTTTATTATTATTATTATCCCTAGTACACGTTACAGGCCATGATAATCATGGTGGGTAGAAATAAGCGACTGCTTTTACTCTAAGTATACCACAATCTACACACGTGGAAAGCAGTTCAACTTTTACACTTACAAATGTGACAGAGCCCCGTTTGGTAATTGCATTCACTGGTGGGGTTGGACTTTTGTAAGAATCGGGAACCATTAGAGCATTTTTATTTTTTAATTATAAAAAAGTGCCCAATGCAGGATTTGAACCCGGGTCGTAGCGTTCGAAAAACCAACGGTTTAGATCACTCATCCACCGATCCCCTCGAAACATTTTAAATAAGTACAGTACAACTACACCTCATTAAAGATCAACACCTAGTTGTAGAGCCTAAGTGTCCTTTAGAGACAAGTGTCCTCTTATCAGAGAGCAGCTAAATAGTAAAAATGGAAATTTTGTTGATGAAAACCGACCTTTGAAGAAAGGTGTCATTTAGCGAGTGTGTCACAGAGATAACTCTGCTGTATAAAAATCCCAAGTGTTCCCTCCATAGAGAAACACGGCACCATGGGGCTAAATTTACAAGGGAATAAATGTCTCTTCAGTAGAAAACATGAATATGTCACAGGCCATCTCAAGCCAATGAAGATAGAAAATAATAACAAAATCACCCCACTTGTCCAAAATGTAGCTTGGCACTTGAAGCTCCAGAACACATTTTGGCTTGCATTAGAAGAATTAAACAGGACCTTTGGGAGAGGCTGCTGCCTATCATCAACAGCTTGAGGAGCATGGACTCATGGAATTTGTGTAATCTTTACACAAGGGGATAAGAAATAACAACTTAATTTATATAAAGAGACAAAGGTCGCCTCTCCCATCAAAATAGACGTCAAAACTAGACGCCATCTTAATTTATATACACAGTGTGGCAAATAATTTTTAAGAATGGGTTTGTAAAATAAAACTGAAACAAGCTAATTCAATTTCTACTATTTTTTTATTCAAAATAATCCCCTCCGGATTCAATACATATGTTACAACGATTTAATAAGGAATTAAATGCCTCTTGCAGGCCACTTTGAGGAATCGCCTCCAAAGTGCTCGTCGCAGCTGTCTGGATGGTCGGGATATCATAAAAAAAAAACAACCTTTCAACTTCAATTTTATTTTTGGGAATAAATAAAAGTCACATGGTGCTAAATCAGGCGAGTACGGAGGATGATTCAACACACAGACATTATTTTTGGCCAAAAAGCGAGGAACAATGAGTGAGGAGTGACTCAGTGCATTATCATGCAGCAAACACCAACTGTCTTCATCGAGATATTCTGGACGAATGCGACGAATTCTGGCAATCAAACGTTTCAAAACGTTTAAATAATACTCTCCAGTAATGGTTTGTCCAGCGGGAACAAATTTTTTGTGGATAATACCTCTACTATCGAAAAAGATAATCAGCAATGTTTTGATTTTTGATGGCACTTTTCGCGTTTTTTTGGCTTGTGGAGAGTTTTTTGACTTCCATTCGGCACTTTGGCGCTTTGTCTTTGGGTCATACTGAAAACACCATGTTTCATCACCCGTAACAATTGATTTCAGGAAGTTTTAATCATTTTCATAGGCAGAAATGATGTCCCTGCAATGTGCAATTCTCAATTATTTCTGCTCGCCCGTTAAAGTGTATGGAACAAATTTAGCACAGACTTTAGTTTTACCCAAATCTTCATGCAGAATGGTTCGAATCGGTTCTTTGTTGATGTGTAAAACCTCTGCCATCATTCTCAGGGATGCACTGCGATTGTTTGCAACAAATTTTCGCACTTTTTCTATACTTTCTGGTGTCTTCGAAGAACTTGGTCGTCCAGTAAGCTTATCATCTTCTAGCGTATTTCCTTTCATCCGAAAAACGTTTGTGCCATATGAAAACATTTGATTTACTCAAACATAACGTACCATAAACTTGCTTCATCAAAATATATGTTTCCGATGCACTTCTACCAAGTTTTGCATTAAATTTAATGACCGCTCTCTGTTCCATCTCAGAATTCCGACGAACAAAAATTTTTACTTTTCAAAAATCGCCTGTATGGTTTTAAAGAGTTAACCAAAATGGCTGAAACAAAGCCACGCGCTAGAAATGGCTTCGAATATATATACGCATGCGCAATTTCATAACTGGCTCTGCTATTGGCTTTTATCTAGCGCGAGTCTTAAAAATTATTTGCCACACTGTGTATGTGAAAAAATGTGACCTCTCACATATCAACATTGAAGCCAAAACCAAGTGCCATTTGTTGACTGCAAACTGAGTGTTGATTTTATAGAAATCAAGATCCTCCCAGAAAAATTCCCATCAGTAGCATTTAATGTGGTACACAAGGTATAATTTAATCTTAAATAAATTTAATCCAGGTAGATCCCTAGAATCCCAAATACTGACCTACTTCAGATACATAATGAAAGCAAGTGGTTTAGAAAAGATATTGGTGTTGGGAAAAATAGAAGACCTGCAGTGAACTGGCTAGAAAGGGTCAAGAAAACTATCACTAGATGAGAGGGATGGTCTCTAATAGATCAAATTGAAGAAAATTTAGGAAGCATTAAACCACAAATGTTTCTTTTACATCAAAAATAAACTTGAACTTTGGAGACTTTCTTAACCTGCTGGATATCCCAACTTTATTGTCGCCTTTCCTCACGGGATATAATAACATCTACCCATGACTCTAGTTCCCCAGTAAGTCCTTCTCTCCCCCACATTGTAAATATCATTGCTGATTATTGTAACTATTCTATATACAGTTACGAGCGTCATGCGTTCTTAATTCTTCATCTCTGTCACCGTTTGCTTTTTCTTTGGAATGGCGCTCTCCTATTGGTTGGCTACGATCACGCCCCCTTAAATAAATGCATATATTAGTTAATAACTAAATGGAATCCTCTCTTTCTTTTTCCCAGTAAGAGACGCCTACGGAAGCCAACAGTACATAGACAGATAAAGCACATAGGCTATAGTTATTAACTAATATATGCATTTATTTAAGGCGCCAATTTATAATTGTATTTGAATAAAAACATTCAATTGGGTAAAACACGGGCGTTGCCCGGGTCATTCGGCTAGTTGTATATTACCTCTTCTACTTGGAGAAGTTGTATAAGACCAAAGGGTCATAACAGGGACTTTTGTTGTTGTTATTACTGTTATTCCTGCATGTACCCTACATTTCTGTGCTTTGAGAATCTGTATAAGACTAAAATGTCTTAATAAAGCTTTTTGTTGTTGTTGTATCATTGAAAACAAACTTCGACTGTCCTTACTGCGATGAAAAATATTGGGAGGGTTTGACTCATCAGTAGTGAATCCTCCCAGCGGTTTCGCCAATTTAATCTACCAGACTGCCTCCCAGAGTTCCAACACTGTACTAAACGATTCTACTTATATATAGACAAAATAGACAAAAGAATTGCTATAACAAATAATGCCCTTTATGGTTTTACTGAGAAACCTGATCATGGAATGGCAACCTTTGGTACGTGATCTGAGTAGGTCCCAAAAAATCTACTTATATATGCTACACTGAAGGGTGGAATCTCAGCAATGGTATTCAAGCAAACTATGGACATTAGCTTTTAGGACATCCTAGGGGTAGTATGGCCACCCAGACCTCTCGGTCCATAAGCCGATCCTTTTTCACTAGCCACCTAGCCAAGGGTATGATGCATTCTCCATGCACCGAGCGGCCAATGGTTTGGCCCCTCGCCTTTATGGTCTAGCTCCATGGGGTCGACCAATCAGCCCACAGACGTCTACGAGAGTTTCATGGCCAGGTAAGCTTTTAGGACAAATTACATTTGTCACTATTAGATAATAAAAGGCATATATTGGATTTAATAAAATATTTATTTTGTCAATATTTCGGCTGGCTGAACGCCAACCTTTATCGAGGCATTACATTTTTGTATACACAAACTCAGCGACGCATAGTGTTATAATATCACAGTTGAAATTAATTAAAATACAGAATAGGTGGGAGAAATTTGTGCATGAACAAATTATTATAAAAATTGCAATCAAATATGTAAAATATCTTATAAAATATTAAAGGAAAAATATGAGTTCTATCTTATATTAAAAAAAAAAAATTGTCACTATATGTTGTTGTTGTTGTTTCTTATCCCCTTGTGTAAAGATTACACGAATCCCATGAGTTCATGCTCCTCGAGCTGTTTTATGATGAGCAGCTGCCTCTCCCAAAGGTCCTGTTTAGTGCATCTAATGCAAGCCAAAATGTGTTCTGGAGCTGCAGGTGCCAAGCTACATTTTAGGCAAGTGGGGTAGATTTTGTTATTATTTTCATCTTTTGTCACTTGAAGGACACTACCAACAAGAAACCAATGAAGCTACTATGGAAGCAAGTTGGCCTATCCCTACTCACTGGTGGCCAGGGACTCCTCAGCCGGATGCTCGAAGCCAATGGTGAGGTGAGAGGTGGAGACAGCCTTCACCTCGAAGATCCAGGGGGACTCCACGTCTGCACATTGGAGGTAAGTGGCCTCTATCCAACACCATGCAACACGGGGTGTCAACATGGCAGTTTGTTGTGTACAGTACTCTCCACACACATAGTGGGGGGAAGTTCTAGCTAACATGAGGAACTACTCCAATATATACAAACACTAGGGCATGGTAGTTCTAATCTACAATTGTAATTTATCATTTTTAATATTCTGTTCACTAATTGTGGAAATATGTCCTATAGGATTTAAAAAAAAAGAACTCAAGCTGAATAGTTCTACTGTGTGGTTAATTTGCAAATTAAATATTCAAGTTGGAGAATTATATTCCAATTTTTAAACATTCTATATACAGTTACGAGCGTCATGGCCTCTGTCACGGTTTGCCGGCGCCCTCCTATTGGTCGGCTACGATCACGCCACCTTTGCCCCCCCCCGATCATTTGGTGCCGCCAATGTGCAAGACACTTCTGTCACCGTTTGCTTTTGGTTCAGTGGTAGAATGCTCGCCTGCCACACGGGCACCCCAGGTTCGAATTCCGGCCTATGCATTTTTTTTCTACAATTTTTAAAACTCATTTATATATTATAGTAGCGGGCGCCTCTCGGGTTCGATTCCCGGCCGATGCAATTTTTTTTACAATTCTTAAAACTCATTTATATATTATACAAGAATGACATCCACGGCGCCAATATATAATTGTAACAAATAGTATTTTAATAAAAGCAGTTAATCGGGTAAACGCCGGGCGTTGCCCGGGTCATTCGGCTAGTTTTCTATATACAGTAGAACCTCCCTGTAAAGGACAACACCTAATTGCAGAACTAAAGTGTCCTTTGTGGAGAGGTGTCCTCTCACAGAGGTTCTACTGTATATATATTAAAAAATAATAATAATTAAAGTAATGAAGATTTAACAACAACAACAAAAAGCTTTATTAAGACCTTTTAGTCTTATAAAGATTCTCCAAAGCGCAGAAATGTAGGGTACATACAAGAACAATAGTGATAGTACCAGTAATAAGCAATGTTATTGTTATTCAGATTTATAGCTAGCATACACAATTACAGTAGAACAACCTCCAAGAGAGGTCACCTCTCTACAAAGGACAGTTTTCACCACCAAATATACCAATTAGCTACCCTCCTGCAAAAGGACATTTCCCTCTAAAAGACATTTAAGATCTGAAATTAGGTGTTGTTCTTTAGAGAGAAGTACTATATCTTCTATATATATAAAAATGAATGTTTGTATGTTTGTTTGTATGTATGACTCCTATACAAATTCGCAGTAGTTCACTAATTCAAACCAAAATTTCCATACATAGGTAAAAAATAACGAGGATGACGATAGGCTATTTTAAAATATATATAAATCATTTATTAAAACTATATATTCAAATTATTCAACTTAGCTCACGAGCAGCGCCCTCTAGAACACTCAGGCGGGCGACGGCGGCGCGCGACGATTGGCTGCCGGCGCAGCCCGTGACTTCCTTGCCCCCTGCCCCCCCCCGCCGAGTAAATGAGATCTCCCGGCTGCCGGCCGGTTGAGCTCACGAGCAGCGCCCTCTAGAACGCGTGACGATTTTGACGGCGCGGGGCGCTCCCAGTTGGACAGTTGCGCGGGGGCAGAGTGACCTCGCGGGTGCCCTCCGGGAACTACGTCCATCTCTTCCATATGTAATATACATTTAATCGTGTAAACCCGGGCGTTGCCCGGGTCATTCGTCTACAAATTCGCAGTAGTTCACTAATTCAAACCAAAATTTCCATACATAGGTAAAAGAATACTGGGAAGACGATAGGCTATTTTAAAAATTTTGCTGTATCATGTTTGATTATCAGATACAAAATTATATCGGGAAAAATTCCAAAAAACAGAGACCACGGGCGAAACAGGGTACATTTAATAGGGTAAAACCCGGGCGTTGCCCGGGTCATTCGGCTAGTACAATATAAACCTTTTTTCTTCTTTTTATCTTCACTCAATCATATCAGGGTGTCAAGCTTGTAAAGTTTGAGACTTTTGATGGTGTCTGCCAAGGAAGAGTAGAGCTCATCAATGGATGAGTCAATACAGTCAATAATGTGTTTTGGAGTTGCAGGTTGAGAATTGTAATTTTATCTGAAAATCATGACTGGGTGAATTTAAGACTGGGAACACTACTCAGTAGCAGACCACTGACTTAGCTCCAATATGACATGAGGAACAGACACCATGTGCAGCTGCTCCTAACATGGAGTACAGACTCATCCTGTATCCCTGGAGCCCTTACAGGGTACTATCAGCAAGGCCAGCTGAGCCCAGGTTTTGTTAACAAGCTTGTTACTGCTCCCCTTCTTTTTTGTTTCATCTGGGCTTGGGACCGTCAAAGGCGGAGTTGTATAACCTCTTTAATTCAACTGACTATATCCAAATGAGGCCATATTCTTTTATTTTACTGACTATGAATTCAATAGAGATTTTATTCACCCCAAAATCTGATCCTAAAGTTAGGAATTGTATAAGAAGCTCTCACCTTTGCTGGCATTGGGTCTGACACAAGAGCTGAGGAGGGTGTTGAAGAGCACTTGCTGGCGGAGGAAGACCAGGATCTGGGGCACGTGGGTTGGGTGTGTGAAGGCGATGGAGGACACCAGTAGTCCAGTGAGGTCCGCCCCGGACTTGAGGTGGTAGCAGTGGTGCTGATCTGGCAGGGTCTGCCCACACACCAGGGTCATCAAACCTGAGCAACTTCTATATCTAGAGACATCGGCGTTTCTCAACTTTTTTTTTGGGGCTTTCTGAAGAGTAAAATTTATTTTTTAAATGTTAGGGAGTCTGGTAGATTTTTTTGACTTTACTGGGTACAAACACAAGACAACAAGACCAAATCCAAACAAATAGTGTGTGACGTTGTTACTGAAACGTCACACACTATTTGTTTGTTTGATCTTGTTGTCTTGTGTTTGTAATCTATAATCCAAATTGTGCCTTTATCACTTTACTGGGTATTGAAGAACTACATAAAAAAAACATAAGGTAACAAGATGACGACCAACTAAATAAATTATGAATGACATTTCAGTAAGAGAGAATTGTTAATTACTACTTCAGGCAAAAAGTACTGGTGACAATGCTGTGTCACACATAATTTATATGATGTCGTCTTTTTTAATATTATCCCTAAGTACACGTGGTACAGGCCATGATAATCATGGTGGGCAGAAGTTGGCGACCACTTTTACTCTAGGGGCACCACAGGTCTATACATGTGAAAGGCAGTTTGACTTTTGCACTTGGTTGCACTTTAGTTATTTGTACTTGCTGGTGGGGTTGGTGGACATTTTCAAGAATTAGGGGGGGAGGGTAGAAGATGAATCCAAATTACAGTCCAAGCTTGTCAATCTGACCAACTGGACTTATGTCTGCAGTAAGGGAGTAAGGTATACCACAAAGAGGCCAGTCTTGGAAGAGTGCTCCAGCTGCCCCTGGGAGTAGTGCTTGGTGATGAGGGAGAGGAGAGGCTCGCAGGTGGCCAGGTCTCCACATTCTATGTCTGCCCGACACACATCCATCACAGCTACTGGACTACCAGGATCATCAAGTTACTTGATAAGTATATTATTTTTTTATTAAAGCAAAAAAATCAAGCTTTCAACCAAATATGCTTCCTTTTACAGGGGTTTATATATATATAATAAATATTATAAATGAAACTGTTCACGAAAGACTGTGCACATGCATTGGACTATTTTAAAGCACACTAAATATTATCATTCACTTTAGATTATGGGGAAATGAATTTGAAAATCCCTCTCTCTGGAAATGTGCAAGGAATCTAATTGTCTTTCTCTAAGGAATTGGAACGCAGTTGGTAATTCTCAATCGATCTGTGTTGATTCTATGGTTGGGATACTAGGGATTCTAAAAGTCAATCATTGATAGTTTCCTGTGATGTTTTGATGACATTTGACTCCTGACATGAATACAGTAGAACAACCTCCATGAGAGGATATTCCCAATAGAGGACACTTCTTCATTGCCAATGCAGTGAACCTCTTGGTAAAAGACACCTAGTTGCAGAGTCAAAGTGTCCTCTCAAGGAGGTTTGACTGTATTACCATATTTAGCAACTCTCCAGTAAAAGGAATCTTTGGTTCTGCAACTAGTAGTTATCCTTTAGAGAGAAGTTGTTCTATTTTATATTTAAAATCAGGACTACACAAGTGATAAAGATTGCATGTATGTGATGGAATCTTCATACAATGTATAAGGCAAGATGTCACTAATTCTTTTTTTTTTTTGGTTATCCCTAATACACGTGGTACAGGCCATGGTAATCATTGTGGGTAGTTAGCGACTGCTTTTTTTACTGTAAGCGCACCACATGTCTACACATGTGAAAAGCAGTTCGACTTTGCACTTACAAATATGCCTAATTCTTAATGTTGATTTATTGGGTCATTTTTCTTAAAGAGTCCTTATTTTCAAACATTACTAATCCATAACACTGGTTCACATGGGGTCAATGTAACTAGGAGGGAAGTTCATATAAATGAGAATGACCTCCCCTGCCTACATAGATCTTAAAACTAAGTGTCAGCTACTGACTGCCTCTGAAACTGACCATACCAGCTAAACATCTCTTTGGAAAAATTGTGAAGATCTCATTTGATTTCTTGTATATCCTTCTTCTTTCTTATCTCCACTCAATCATATTAGGGTATCAAGCTTGTAAAGCTTGACAACCATCATGACTGAGTGAAGTAAAATACATCTGCCTTTGTCATTAAGACTGGGAGCACTACTCAGTTGCAGGCCGACTTAGCTCCAAAAGAAATGGCCGCCTCTGACATGAGGAACAGATGCCATGTGCAGCTGCTCCTAACATGGAGTACAGACTCATCCTGTATCCCTGGATTAGGAGACCTTACAGGGTACTATCAGCCGGGCCAGCTGAACCCAGGTTTTTTAGTGAGCTTGTTACTGCGGGACCGGCAAAGGCGGAGTTCTGTATTCTTGTATATCCCATGAAATAAAAAAAAAACACTCTGGACTGACAAGGGCCATAGACCAAAACCACAGTTTCCAGGTGAAAACTTCTTTGCCAAAACTGGTGTTATGACTGGGTGTTGGAGGAATAACTCGCACATCGGCTGTTACCATAGCAACGGCCACTTCCCCCAGACATCACGTGACCTGGCGCCGCTCCGGCGTACCTGTAATATAGGTTTCAGATTTGCCTTTGTTTGTCTGCCCTACGCTTGCTTTTGTTTGACTCTCTTTGTTACTTGTCATCTTAATATATAATAATTGATAATTAAACAATCTTTTCTGAGTTCCAGCCTCTGATTCTCTTACACTGGGTCATTGAGTTTATAAGTTTACTAAGACAGAGCTAAGTCGGTGGCCTGCCACTGAGTAGTGCTTCCAGTCTTAATGACAAAGGCATTCTACTTCACCCAGTTTAGAGATAAGAAAGAAGAAGAAGACTAAGACAGTCAATAAATGGGGATTAGTTTTAGCATCATTTTGACAGGAGAGGTGGCCATTATTACTGGACCGTGACGACGGGCGGCTAACTTCGGCAACACCGGAGCTGACGTCACACCCGTACTTTCACTTTCTGTTTTTGTATCCTGCA